ATTAGTCAAAAGGCAAAATAAATATACACATTTAGATGAACAGAGACATAATGCACCAAATGTTTTTGTATTAAATCTAAATTATATTAGGTACCTATTAAAACAAGTCTTCCACACAGAAAAACAAAAACTTTATTAAACTTCCTTACACCTGTTTTGGGGATTATCTTTTTAAATTCTTTTAAAATTTGTTTAGAGGAACACTAAAGCTATTTAGGACCTTATTGCTTCTAAAGGCCTTTGTTAGTACCAACTTATAGAATATATATTTGCGTCAGTGAGTTTGTGAGAGTGTGTGTGAATCTGAGCGTGAGAGGCCAGAGAAAGTGTTCATAGGTAAGTAACTCTACTTACTTGGAAACTTAAAAATAGGTGTATCTAGGGCCCAGGGATTTACCTCAGTGGTTCTAGCACCTGTCTTGCAAGCACAAGATCCCAAATTCAATCCCTGGTACAAAAAAAAAATTGGTGTGTCTTATAAGGATTAATTGGTATATAGCAGAAGGGGTCATAAGAAAGAAATATATAATTCATAGAATAGAACGATTCCCAGACATTTAAGATCTTACTGAATTAATCTTATTACAAATATAGGATGTGAAAAGTACGTATAAGTTATTGACCATTTTCTACATGCCATAAAACTCATTAATAACTTCATATAAATTTAATATTCATGGATACTTCTAAATTAGGGTATATTATTTGGCTTTTACAGATTAAATATTTGAGATTCAGAAATATTATGCAACTTACCATATTACAAAACTATTGGATAAACTAAGATCCCACTCCAGATAAAACATCATGTTTATATACCGATATCTCTTTCACACACACAGACACACACACACACACACACACAATTACCAAATGGAAGAACAAATGAAAGTGAAGAAAAAAGAGATTTGAAAGAGAGAATCAGTGAAACAATTATAAGGAGAAGACACAACAAAAAGGAAGCCTCACTATGTTAATGAATTGAGTTTTTTTAGAGTTTGATACATATCCATCTGAAATTAAGACATGAAAATTTTGAATTATTTAAGTTCTTTGGCTTCTTTTTCTTTGTTTTTCCAGAAATGTAATTATAGTATGTCTCTCACCAGATATACTCTGCTAGTCAAGTAAGCTAAATAAGTTTTGTTTGTGTAACAATTTATCTCTTGTCATAAATTATAACATCACTCATCTATGGTCATTGTCTTGGTTCATGTGATTTCATCTTTGAGACAAAGAACCTCACTGAAAGCTATGTGGAGACAGAACAATGAACAGAAATGAGCTTCTCTCCATTCCCACATTGATCAGGGCAAACAAGCTACACAAACAATCGAATATGTTTGTTTGTTTCAGCAAAGTGCTTTAGGATGGTACAAGTAGAGACCACTTTAAAAGAGGAGACCCAAATGAATCTGGAGGCTTAATTTAGATTGAAACCTATAGGATAAATCAGAAATGACCAAGACAAGTAAGATGAGAGTCCAATGAGTAAGTGTTGGACTTATGAACTCCGCTTGCAGAAATACTTTTGTGTCCTTTCAGTTCCACCTCCTAAATATTTCACTAATTTCTTTTGAGTCTGACAGATATCCTCCCAATTAGTATATGAAAATTTCAAGCTTGGATTATTACAGTAGTATCTCAGCTATTTCCCCATCTTCAGATCCATTTCCACATTACAGAAATTCTAAGTCTAATTTAGTCATTTTTTTTTCCATTTCTATTATTGTAGTATCTAATCTTGTACATTGCTGATAAGACCCTATGAGATGACTTTTGCCTTCTTTTCCAGCTTTATGTTGAGTCATTTCCTTCTAGCTCTTTTTGTTCCAAATATGAGGACCTTCTTTTAGGTGATTCAATATGCGAACTCAACTCCAAATTCAAGGCCTTCACACATGCAGTTTCCCACATCTTGGAAGCTTTTCTACCTGTATTCTTCCTGCATTTGGCTACCTATCCACCATTACTTAGTATAAACCTTACTGTCCTGTGCAGGATTCCTGTAATTTCCTAATGTAGATGAAATTCTAGTAAAAAGCCCATATTAACATTCTCCATTCATCTTTTCCAGTGTCTCACAGAGTTGTAATTAAATTTATATAAATAAGGGCCAGGAATTTAGCTCAGTGACTATGTGCCTGCCTCACAAGTGCAAGGTCCTGAGTTCAATCCCTGGTACTGCCAAAAAAAAAAAAAAAAAAGGAAAGGAAAATTAGTTAAAAATAAATTAGTTAGGGTATCTCTCCTACATTAATTGTAAATTCCATGAAAGATGGATCTTTCTTATTCTATTATATATTTAAAGCACCTAGCATAATATTTGGCAAAAATAATGCATAAAACTAATATTTTTGTCAAAATCAACACTATAATGATAGCAATATTGGTTTTCTTTTCATACATTTTGTAAAATTAGATTATACACATTCTAAGATACATATGACTTGTACACACTCATCTAATCTATGATTTTTCTGTCACTTTACCTAGATAGATATCAGCCTTATTGTACCATCTTGCAGAATGATCCATATTTGGGCCTTTACTTGAGTTATAGAGGCCCAGTGAGTTAACTTTTCCATAGTCACAAAATATATAAAGAGACATGGCTAGCATTTAAATCTAAGGAATCTTAACTATTATGCCATATGGTCACAACTCCAAGTTCAATGGATCAGTGACAAAGAGTTCTTTCTTTATTCTCTAAGGATTTCCTTTCTGCCTAACAGGTCTGGTGCATTATGCGTGCACAATAAACAGCTATATAATCAACAGATAAGCTTCCTTCATAAATTCCTATCTTCTAGATATCTACCCTAAACTAAAACTATCACTGATAAATATCTTTAGCTTTAGGAGCCCTAAAGAGGGAAGATAAAAATTGCAAGAATTTTTACAGTAGAGACAGTGACTCAAAATCAGACTAGTCTTAGACTTGGGAATTAGACTGTATTGGTTTATCTTCTCCTCCCTCACTTTCTAGTTGTGTTACCCTGGACAAGGATTCAATCTGTTCTGCTGTTTGGATATTTTCACCTATAAAACAAGAATAATAATTTTTTGTGTCTTATAATTTTACAGGCTTTTTGATACAAGCTAAAGCTTTTTCTAAGTAATATGATGAATAAAAACCCTTTAAATTTACCTGACATGTGATTAAAAATGTCAGAACAATGGAGAAATGTTGGTCATAGAGTAAAAAGTTTCAGTTATGCAAAGTGAATAAGTACTAGAGCTGACTATACAACATAGTGTCTATAGTTAGTTAACAATACTATTTGGAGACTTGAAATTTTTCTAAGAAGGTAGATCTACTTTTTTTCCAATGTCAGCAGTCTAGTCCAGGACTTTATCATGCTAAGTAAGTGCTCTAATGCTCAGCTACATTCAAGTCTAAGAGGGTAGATCTTTTATTGTGTTCTCATCACAAAAAAATTAAAAATTACCAGGATGCAAAGAAATTTTAGAGGTAATAGATATTTATTTTCTAGATTGTGATGAAGGTTTCATAGCTGTATATTTATCTTCAAACCAATGAACTTCTACAGGTTAAATATGTGTAACTTTTTAATGTCAATCTCACTTGTAAATTGTTTTTAAAAAAGAAAGATGTTATTATTTGGAGCTGCTAAAATGAGCATCTGAGATTTTAAATGACTGGTCTAGTTAGCTCAAATTAATGAAGAAATAAGATGGGATTAGTAGCATTGACACCAGGCTGGCCATAGATAAAATGTTCTATTACTTCGTTTCAAATTAATTATCTGATATTTCTCTTTGACTACAGAGAAAACATCCTGGCCAGCACTGGCTTCAGGTGAATGGGAAATGAGGAAAATGAGGGCAAAAGTATGAGGTGTTCCTAATGTGCACAGAACACCTTGAATATCAGGGGAGGAGTCTCTTATACAATGTTCTACTGTAATTTTTAAAACATCTCCAACTTGGAGATGTATACGATGTCTATATTTTATTTTCCATTTGATTACACTTTCCAGAGGTTCATTCATTTTGCAAGCTTATTAAAAGAGGGTTTTTTTTATTGTTTTCTCTTTTTCACTTTCACATTTATTCACTTAAGTATTTTCAATCATTTTGCAAAATATTTTATTGTTTCATAATATCTTAGTTGAGTGCTTAATTTCTTAACTTTTTTCTTCTTTTAATATAAAAAAATACTTTACCAGTCTTACAAGACCATGAGTTTAGACAGAACATGATTGTATTTCATAGATTTCTCGATGGCCTTCCAACTTCATTATTTCCTGGTTTGTTACTATACACACACAGACACAAACACACACACACACACTTATACAATTTAAGTTAAAACATAAATTTTACTATACACATATATATGTTACTATACACACAATTTAAGTTATATATATACAATTTAAATTATAACATAAATTTTACTAACCTTTAATAATACTTAAAAGATAGATCACTTAATATAATTTTTGTATACTTAATTTATCTATTTTAAAGACTGAATGGATAATACGTATTATGTTAAATCAATTTTGGCATGCATAGCTATAGTGGTGTGTGTGTGTTTGTTGTGTGTAATTTCAATCAATATCACATGGACATATTTTGGGGGGAAATTTTCTTTCCCATTTTGACAGTGTTTTCATGGTAATAGGTAACTTCTTGTGTGATGATTCTCTTTAAACAAGGATGACAGCAGTAAATCATGAGAAAATAGAGGAATGATTATAAGGATGCATATTTTTTGGACTGAAAAAGAGGGAAATTGAGAAAACATCTACTCCCTATATTGTAGCCCATTTTACCTTAGCAAAACCTGTTGCCTTGAGTCTTATCTATTGCCAAGCTTTCCTCAAATATCTGATGGCAGGAATCTTATGTTAATGTCTGTGACCAAAAAGAATAGTAAAAATTTCTTGGCAATGCAGATCTTGAAAACTCATGCTTGTGAACTAAGAGTAAACATCCTCTGGATTTCAACTTTTCAACATGTCTCCTGCTCAAAACTTGGTTCCCAGCAGTATTTTGTAAAGCTTCCGACGAATCTCTTTGGTTTTTATGGAATAGATAACAGGGTTGAGCATGGGAGGCACAAACAGATAAATAAGGGACATGAGTATGTGCACATACTGTGGGGCATGCCTCCCATAGCGAGCAGCCATAGACACACCAACCATCGGCACATAGAAGATGAGCACAGCACACATGTGTGACACACATGTGTTGAGTGTCTTTACCCGTTCCTCCTGGGAAGCAATGGTGAGTACAGAACGAAGTATGAGCACATACGAGAGAAGAATGAGTGCCGAATCCAGGCCAAAGGTAGAGATAACAATGAACAGACCAAAGATGTTATTGATGGTGACGTCACCACAGGGCAGATGGATCAGATCTGGATGCAAGCAGTAGGCATGGGACAGCACATTGGCCTTGCAGAAGGGTAACCTCTTCAGAAGGAAGGGCAGTGGGAAAACCATGCAGAAACTGCGGATAACAACAGACAGGCCCATCCGAACCACACGGCCATCCGTGAGCACTGTGGTGTAGCGCAGTGGGTTACAGATGGCCACATAGCGGTCAAAGCTCATGACAAGCAGGATCCCTGATTCCGCGAAGGAGAAAAGATGGATAAAGAACATTTGGGCCATGCAAGAATTAAAACTGATTTCTCTCAAATGGAAGCAAAATGTGGCCAGTACTGTGGGCAGGGTGGAGAAAGACACACCTAGGTCATTAACTGATAGCAGGGACAGAAAGTAGTACATAGGCTGGTGCAAGCTCTGTTCCTCCTTGATAGTGAAAAGGATAAGGGCATTGCCCACAATGGAGACAATGTAGAGGGCCCCAAGAAGCAAAAATATCCAGTGCTGGGAGGCCTCCAACCCTGGGAGTCCTGTCAAGGTGAAAGGAGGCAACCCTGAGCTGTTGAAGGCGTCATCAACCATGCTGGGAAGCCTGCTTAGACTCTAGGGCCACTGTCCTGCAAAGAAGACAAACACACAGTTTTATGCTTGGCCTCTGCCTAGTATTATAAGTCTCTAACGTATAATCAGGGGCTTAGTCCCTGATTTTCAATTTTGCTCACCACATCTCACCACCTTTCCTCTCACTGTTACTAAGATTTCTGAGTTCTCTGGGATGCCTCAGTGCATCTAGCTGGGAAGACAGGTTTCTTTGCTCACTTTTACAACCGTGTCTATCACTTTTTCACCTTTAAAGCTATGAACTATTTTCTTTATAAATTTATAGGCATCAATTTGTTCAAGAACTTAGGTAAAGTGTTTCTGATCACTACTTCCTCAACTCTTTCAGAGCAAACCACTAAAACATTGAACACAAACTTTGCCTCCGTCCACTCTTTTGTGTTACTGAGACTCTAATTCACTGTGACTCCCAGCTTTTAACTCCCTCTCACTTCTTCCATCCATTCAACCAAGTGAAAGATAATTGTACAGAAAATTGTCCGTCCATGGAAATAACCTTCCAGATCTTCATCACAATATCTAGACTCATTCTTCCACCCAGCTTTTCATTCTTCTAGCCATTCATTTCACGCCACTCCTTTTCTCACTGAAGGATTTAATTTACTAAAAATAATGTCCTACTTTGTTTCAGACTCAAATAGTATCTAGGTTATCAAAGTCATGGAATTAATAATCATTACTCTATCCCATGGAATTGCTTTTCATCTGTTTTCTCTTTGAGTGATATCATCATTATGCCCCAAACTGAGACACAAAATCCAAATATTGGTTTAATTACTTCTTTTCCTTGCCTACTGCATTAAACCAGGAAACAGTTGATTCAAAATACTGATAGCACAGTGGCTCTTTCAACACCCTGCTCTATTTAATTCTATTGGCAGTATCACACTTCACCCTGAAGATACCATTAATATACCACAGTAACAGCCTTCTAATAAATTTCATGATTTTCCCTAATTCATCATCAATCTAAAGTAGGACTAATATTTTTTAAAGGTAAATAGAAAATATACTTTTCTGATAAAAAAAACTTTAATTCCTCACTACCAAGTAATCAAATTCAAACTCAGCCTAGAATTAAAGACCTCTATGGTCAGTACAAAACCAATATTTCTGAATTATCAAAATTATCTTCCTCAGACTTGGAGATTCCCAGGTCAGTCTACTTGCTAATTTCCAAATTTGTTTGCAGCTCTTTAGGTTCTAGAAGTTGCCCTGATTGTATAAACACACTCACTGAAATTATCTTCTGGCACTGAGGGCCAAGGACACTTTCTCAATAAAAATTTAGCTGACCATCACGAGCAGAGATAACTGCCCCATCTTCGTAAACGTAGACTTACATCTCCTTTTGTTTGTACTTTTCTGCCGGCTCTGCATTACACCATTGTGAATCTCCTCTCCTGTCCTCCCAACTGCAGAACACATACTGTAAGTTTCAGCCCCGGCTATGCTGCACTTAGCACAAAAGCTTGACCAGGAAAGGCACTCAGTAAGTCACTCAGGTGTTCTGGCTTTTGATCCTTTTGTTTTAAAGTGGAGATGCTAATGCTAATAAATTTATCTCAGAGGGTTGTAAAAAGCCCAAAGTGACCAGTTGTGAAAACTCTTATAACCAAAGATTTTGCAACTCTGCATTCTAAAGCCTGTTCAACATCCTCAAGCTCAGCCTTTCATCTGCCTTTGTTCCTCCACCTGCTTTCAGGGCTCCTTTATCCTTTCTTCTCAGGATGAATTTTTTCCTCATTCTATATTCTTAGAACCCCTTTGTTTTCCTTGCCAGGAATCTTTTCCTGTATATTTTTATTTGTTCCTATGTGCAATAACTGATTCCCCTAACTTGTAATCTTTTACAATTAGGTAGGATCTTTCAAAGTGGCTTCTTAAATAGGCAGCATCTTTTTGTGCACTCTCTGATGCCACATTTTTTTCTGAGAAAAGTATGAGAGTATTCACTTATAACACAAAATCATCTAGATTCAAAGTACAGCCTAATGGGGAATTCTTTCTAAAAAGTAATGTGTGAAGCAGAAGGCATGGTGGGATTTAAGAGCTTGAGAGCTACAGGCAGAAAATACGGAATGGTGAAGATGACAAGGGAGAAACCATGGCAGTTTAAAAAAAAGAAGAATTACATTAGGAATAGACTTCCCTTCTTCAGATTGCTATATTGTAGAACTCAGACTTTCTAACCTAAGGGTAGAGTGCCTTAGGGCCTGAATGTGGAGCATCTGGCACTTCAGCTTACCTACCTGACAGAGTTCTAGGCATTGAAGGTGCAGAGAGAGGAAAAGCAGGACTGGGACCTTGCATACCCTCCCCAAAGCCCCCAGCCACTTCTCCCAACTCCCTGGTCTGAAAAATATATGGTTACATCCAGGAAGTCCCTAAAGATGTTATCAACTCAGACTTTCAAGGACTTTTGGGAATGAAGAATGTCAACAATTCTCTCTACCGCCTGGACTTAGCACTTTATCTCTCATGGGAGAATGTTGGGCTATGAAAGATCAGAACTGCAAGGGAACTGCAAGAACATTGTATCTAGCCTTTCATTTTACAGAAGTAACTGGAGTCTAGAAAATAAAAAGAATCTCAAATTTATACAGCTCTTTCGTGGAAAAATACAGTTAAATCTAAGTCTTCTGATTCTGTTTATGGCTTTTCTACTATACATCTATGGTCAATATTCATAAAAATGTTGAATCCTATGAAGAGAGCTCAAGCCTCATGTAAATGAATTTCAGGAATTGAATTTACGAGCACAGGTGAAATATTCACCTGAACCATCCATGAAATTGACATCACGCATAAGAGCACTGGAACACTGTGGCTGGGAATGTGATTATAAATTAAATTATAGGAAATATTTGCTTTGGTAAAGAAGGTGTTGAGGACATTGCTCTGTGCTGTGTTCCTCACAAATGCTTATCGGTCATGGAGAGGGAGGCCCAAGGTATAAGGAGTAGTTACTAAAATGTGGCAATAGATGGGCCCAAGCTTTACCACTTGAGAAAGTTCCTAACCCGCACAGTTTCATATTTTTCCACCTCTAACTAGGTAATAAGCACATATCACAGAAAAATTGGGATTATTAAAGGGAATTGTGCATAAAACCATTAAGCACACAGTACTCAATACAGATTAGTTATTACATTTAAGTCCCAAACATTGAGTCCTAAAGGTAAGACAATTGGAAATAGATATGACTTAAGTGTGTAGAATAATAATAATAAACACTTAGATTACTTCTAGGAAAACACTATTAAATACATCCAAAAGAAATAGGAATTTACAATTAAGCCAACTCAGTGAAGATAATGAGAAAATAAGTTTTAGATAGCACCTCTCACATACCTAGTGTTTCTAACTGGGATGACAATGCAAGAGGTTTTTAAAAATCATGTTCGAAAACAATAAATCAACAAAAAGATGCAGTGCATGACCTAGTACACTCTTAGGTCTTATCACAGTCATATAGATTCTCATGGAAAGAGGTTAAGAAATCAGCTGAGTCTTGCTCAATGCACATGGATTAATTAGAATTTTGTGCCTGTTGTTACTTCTTCATAAGTCTTTCTCTTTAAATTTTGCCAGATGAAAAAAAAAATTTATTTGTAACAAGACAACAACCACTACCCTTAACTACTGTTAACACAAGTAAGAATAAACTGAGATATCCACTGAATGCTGGACATGATTTTAGTCATGAGGATGTGCAGATGAATAAGAGTATCCATTCACAGTCTACCTTGGGAAACCCCTAGAGAGAGAATAGTTCAATGCAGTGATAAGAGATACAGAGAACATTTTACATCTGAACAAAGGAGGAGGATTTGAACATGGTTGGACTATCTGAGAAGATATCCAGTAACATATAATAGTGCTCTTAACTCTCAAAGAATGGGAAAGTGTCACGAAGTGGATGTGGTTGGCCGAATGTCCCTCAAAATATGTCCAAGTTTTGAACTTATGAATATGCTATGTTTCGTGGCAAAAGAGATTTTGCAGGTAAAGTTAAAAATTGTCCTAGATGTGATCAAAATATATGTGAATGTTTAACTTTTTAAAAATGTATTATAGTAAAAGACACACTGTTACTAATCCCCTTGAAAATACTCCCCCTCCCGGGTTTGTACACACTTATCCCACTGTTCTTGCTACTTTCAGAAGCAATTCTGGAAGCCCTCTTTTATAACTGTCTTTATGCATGTGATAGAAAATAATGGTGAATGTCATTGCTAAGTGCTATCCAGTGGAAAGGTTGGCTCCTAGAAACATTGCAAATGTGTCCGCATTCTGCTTATTCACTGGATCTGGCACCTTGGGACTTCTTCCTCTTCCCAAAAGTCAGAATGGCCATGAAAAGTGAAATTTTGAATTGACTCAGGACATCAAGGCAGTCAGCACAGTGCAATTAAAGACACTCACAAAGAGGACTCCCAGAACTGCTTCAGAAAGTGGTAAGAACATTAGAATAATTGTGTTTGAAGAGAGGTGAGTATCTTGAGGGAGGTTAATGGAAATATGTCTTTTACTGTAAAATAGTTTTAAATGTTCCCATATCTGATCTACCTTAAGATAGAGGCTTCTTTTTTTCTATTGGATGATGCATTTGACCAAATCTAAGCACTTGAGCCCTTAAAACCCTAGAACTTGTTCAGTTTGTGAATGTAGCATCTAGGTCAGAGACTGAAAGCAGAAGAGGCACTAAACACATCATGCTTGCAGCAGTCAAATGAAAAGCAAGAGAAATGATGTGGGCAGTATTAGATGTAAAGAGCCGAGAGCTAAACACTAAGAGGATGAAAACCCCAGTGCTATGTCCACAGAGAACTGAGTTGAAGTCACTCTAAATGAGCGCCAAAGCAGATTCTTCCCCCGATGTTCTGACCTACAGAATCTATAAGAAATTTCTTAAGTTTCTAAATGTGTGATAATTTTTTGGCAAAAAAACCCAAACA